AACAACATATATCGTGGCATGTGCCGAAACTACTTAGTCTTCCAAGGGAATACGAGAAAATCTTCACGGTAAGATCTAGTAATTAAAAATTTATGTATATATACATATATATTCTAATTACTATATATATGAAGTTCATTGCGTTTAAAAATATCGCAAACTCGTTAATTCAACTAATTTAAAAAATGGAAGCAAGAAATATGCATAAATAAAATGGTTGTAAATAATGATAAAGTATAAACATCTATGTTTTAATTCAAACATTTTATAGATTAGAATGTTTTCTTTATATATATGTATTTATACTATTACACACAACATTCATATATTATTTTTACTCATATATTGTTTTTATCCTCTTCATGTAAGTATATATGTATTAATTCTTTTCAGTATTACCACGAGCGACAGTGCAGCATGTGTCATTCTGTACCGCAAGAGATCAGCATCTGTTTGTTGTGCGGCACTATTGTCTGCCTCAAACAGAACTGTTGTAGACAGATGAATGTGTTCGAAGCTATTCAGGTGAGCATAAAATTTACATATGCATGACAAAATATTGAGATCATCTATCAATCTATAAATATCAGACTTGTAAACATTTTTTTGAATTTTTATACACTTAGCATTCAATCGACTGTGGCGGTGGGACTGGCATCTACCTCGTAGTGACTTCAACTTACATTATCGTGATACGCGGTCGACGAGCATGTTTATGGGGATCTTTGTATCTCGACGACTTTGAGGAAGAAGATAGAGATCTAAAGTAAGTATGATGATTTATTGTAAAATATAAAATAAAAATATATAAAAATACTGTGTGACTAAACATTAAATATTTGTTATTCTAATTTTTAACATGTTGAAACTAAGGCTATATTTTATTTCGGTATTTAAATTTCTTTCATGAAAAATTAAAAGTTAATTTTTTAAAGAAGAAATTATATAACTTAATATTATATATTTTACAAATTATGTAACTTGTAATACTATTATTTAATATTCTATTGTTTGATATTATAAATAATCTTGTAGACGTGGCAAGCCCCTGTATCTCAGCCAGGACAGGTATCAGCTTTTGGAACAACAATGGCTGGCTCACAGATTCGACCATACAAAGAAAACATGGGTATGGCATCGCGATGCTCTGTGACCCATAACGATGTTGTCGCGACTCGCTCGTCGCACCTAATCTCAGAATTGAAGAAGACTCTCCCTTCCTTCCTTCCTCTCTCTCTATCTCACTCCCGCGACTCCTACAATTTATTCTCACACAAAATGCCTCGCCCTTTCGCAGCATGCTTTAGAAACTAAGGGAGATAGATCGTCCTCGACGGATATTATATATTTATTATGTAACCGCGAGTAAGTAGTAGTAGACATAAACGATGAATGAAAGTATTAAGAAAAAGAACGCTCGTTTGGAGGGAGGATAGATTTTGTTCATATAACTGCGCATAATAACTTGAATAATACGTACTAGATCTGTAGAAATTATGTATGCTCTCAGATTGAACACCTGTACATTTTATTTAAGTATACACAGAGCTGTTTCCATACTTTAATCCTTCTGTATAATTATCTCCAAAATTAATGGTTACTTAAAAGGAAAAATTCAAATCGAAGTTACACATTTTTCTTTTAAATTATACAGTTGCATAAAAAAATGGGGTAATTTTGATCCTAGACATTTTTGTGCGATAACCAACAATCTCGGAGATTGTTATAGGGAAAAATTAAAACAAGAGATCCTGTATATATACATATACATATATAATATATGTATGTAAGCATATATAATTACGTTATAACAAAAAAGGAGTACTTATCTAGTATGTAGTATTTGTATTTTTTAGAAGATGATATGTAAGTGATAATAATTGGAAAAAGAGAGAGATAAGAGAAAATTGTGTGTTGCTTTGAGCAAGAAAAAACTATACATTTTGAAAAAAGAAATAATTTCTAATTTGTTTTGCTTCGCCAGATGCTTTATGCTGATTCCACAATGAGTCGATAATCGGAAATCTTAAGTCTTAACCAGTCTTAACTTAAATAGGTGACTGGTTTTTCGCATCTACGAGTTGTTTGTTGTACAGCGAGTCATTCAGCTCGACTAATGAGGAGGAATAAAATCGAATTTGGTCAGTCTTAAGAAAAGCGGTAGTCTTAGTCGTACAAGTTAACTGTTGGCCAACTTCACCGATTCACCGATAAGACTTAGGATTACCGACTACTAACTCATTGTAGAATCAGTATTATAGACATTTATAAAACAAATACAAATTTTTCATTTTTGTCATACGGCGAAGTTATATAAAATGAAAACATAAGGTGCACATATCGAGAGCTTTAAATATGAATCGGAACACGGTGTAAATGTGAATGTCATATATACATATACTATATTATATATGTCATTATACATATATAATATAGTATCATATGATATATATGTATAAATTGGTATATGTTATATCATAGAAAAAATATATTATATACATATATTCTTACACCATGGATTGGAACATGACTGGAAGCATTACACGATCGACAAATTAATGGCTTCTCGATTCATAATACAATGCAAAATTGAACTATTATAAAAAATTAGAAAATTTTTTTTAATTACAAAACTACATAGAGTATTATGAGTCTGAATTATCCGATGCCATAGACATGTAAAATATATAATTTCCATGTTCATTATTATGTCTTATTCTCACAGATTATGTTAATGAATATCATATAATTTTCCATTTATAGGCAGAGACATTACATCTTATTCTCAAACTTTGATAAAATTTTAATAAAATTGATTATTTTATTAAATTTTTAATTAATATAAATTTTACTG